TGGATTTCTCTGCATACTGGGTTTGAAGGATGACAAAAGCTAGGACAGCCTTTCAGCTGTGCCTCAGCTAAGTAATCTTACTTGAATCGATTGACAACATGAACTCACTACCAGTATTGTTGGTATCGCGTGCCACATGACTACTAATGGTAGGATGGGCGCTGTCCAGGCTGCGTTCGCCCTTGTCGTCTGTATGCTCGCTTGTTGAGAGGAACACTCAATCTTACCCAAGTTCCGGCAAAGATTGTTATTAGGTAAAGACTTAATGCTAAGGTAGATGGTTTGAGGCAATTGATCATCCAAATACTTTTGCCAATGTGAGAACAGGAAATTTTCTTAAAGTTTGTCCTCTGTCGGAGTCCATTCCGAGCCAGCTGGTCCGTCACCATCGTATGAGAAGGCTACTAGATGAATCTCGTATCAGACATCCTCCCTTGACTCCTGACCACAACCTGTGACATTCAAGCGGGGGCGCATGCCATATAAAAAGTGTCAAGAGACACGGACGGTGACTCGTTAGCATGGATAAAACATTCCGGCCCGAGATGAACTCTGGGGTGAGACCAAAGTCCGATTGACGCACGATTGACGTTGTTGATTTGATAGCCATAGCCGAGATGGCGTACATTCCACTACCGTGGCGCCGACACTCACCCCCTTTCCCTCGCCTCTTCCCCAGGAAAATGGCTAAGACGTTGGCGTTTTAAGATTAAAATAGGCGCGGCAGGATGAAAGAACGCAGAAGAGCGTTAGTCGGTCGGCAGGCATGACGGGAAGAACGCTAGCAGAGAGATACGAGGGACTAGGAGCGAAGTTCCTGGGAAGAGAATACGAGACGCGACTAAGTGAATTCTTGCTGGAGAGCGAGGCACGACAAACACAACAGCACCGGAATGTAAAATGTCGTCCAGACCGGATGTGATCCGAGTTTTGCCAACAAACTACCCCTTGGCCATCGACGCTGGCTGAAATGTTTACGTTTAATTCGCCGTCTTGGCTTCAACTCGATGTCCTATAAATCATGATCAAAGTTCTCCTACAGCCTCAACTTTCTTTCCAACTCAACCCACACACTCATTCACAACTTTGACATCAAGTCATACCACACTCTTTTACACCACACGGTCTTCACCACCCAAACCCCAACAACATGTCTTCTCACGTGGCTCCCCTCCTGGCCGGGCTGATCATCAGCGCCGCCCAGCTCACATCCGGCTCCCCCGTGGCCGACGCCCCCGTCGTCGCCGCCCCGGTCGCCGCCCTCCTCACCAACGGCACCTACACCCAGGTCGTCACCGCCATCACCACCTACTGCCCCGAGCCCACCGTCATCTACCACGGCAAGTTCACCTACACCATCAAGGAGCCCACCACCTTCACCATCACCGACTGCCCCTGCACCATCACCCACACCGGCCCCGTCCCCACCGGCGTCGCCCCTGGCCCCGAGTGCGCCGCAACCTGTGCCGCCGCCTACGACAAGTGCCGCGGCGCCCCCGACGCCAACCGCGCCACCTGCGCCGCCGAGTACGCAGGCTGCCTCGGCTACAGCCCCTTCGGCCCCGACGGCTCCCTCGTGACTCCCACCGCCTGCTCCGGCACCGCCGTGGTCCCCACCGCCACTGCCGTCCCTCCCATCACTACCGGCGTTTTCCCCCCCACCGGCCCCTCCGGCCCCGAGTGCGCCGCCACCTGCGCCGCCGCCTACGACAAGTGCCGTTCCGCCCCCGACGCCAACCGCGCCACCTGCGCCGCCGAGTACGCAGGCTGCCTCGGCTACAGCCCCTTCGGCCCCGACGGCTCCCTCGTCACCCCGACCGCCTGCTCCGGCACCGCTACCGCCGTCCCTCCCATCACCACCGTCGCCCCTCCCACCGGCACCGCCGTCCCTCCCATCACCACCGGCGTCTTCCCCCCCGCGACCACTGGCGCCGCCTGCGTTACCGGCTGCAACGACGCCTACAACAAGTGCCGCAGCGCGCCCGGCGCCAACATGTCTACCTGCGCTGCTCAGTACGCCGGATGCCTCGGCTACAGCCCCTTCGGACCTGACGGTTCGCTTGTCACGCCTACCGCTTGCTCTGGTTCTGCTACCGGTGCGGCGCCTACTGCTACTGCGAAGCCTTTGCCTTCTGTTGTGCAGGTTGCGTCTGCTGGGCGTGCGTCTTTCGGGGTCGCTGTCGCGGCTTTGTGTGGTCTTGCTGCCGTTGCGATGTTCTAAGGGATGAGGGGGTGGAGAGTTTGTCGAGATTGTATCTCGGGGGTTGGGTATTGGATTCTGTGTTGATAGTTGGCTTTAATATATTGTATTCATGAGACCGACCTTTAGACCACCTGACGCCTACATGTCGTGAGGTAGGAGTTGCTCCATGATGAACAATATCTTCACGCTCAAACATGGCTTGAAAAGTATGGCTTCATTTCTGGTGCCTGTCCTGTTTGCAGTATGTCTCCAAGATAAGAGGTCGATTAATAATGATGTTTGGGAGCGATTTCTGCTGCACTCCATGTTGCATGATTTACCCTGGTCTAGGTACTGGTAAAGTACGCATCTATGTCTTATCAGCCACGAGCATCAGATTCCGTGGCGATATTGAATAATCAAATATCGGCACAACGTCGACATGTTGCCCCCCGTTCTCCGTCAGGAACAAATACCGATCTAGAGCAATTACGCTCTCGACAACCTTGCAGCACAGAACACTGAGCGTCCACAGGATCGCCACTTTGCCTTCATATCCTCGATACCTTTCCTCATAAGCTAAGAGATCAGCATCGCTGATTTTGCTCTCGTCAACGTTCAGGCATCCCATCGCTCTGCGTGCGAACGCATTAAAGGTATCCATGTCTCCCTTTCGCACGCCCCACACCGGTCGATCCTCCTTATCGAGTTCAATCCCTTTATCGTGGAAAATCTTCTCCAATAAGGCTCGATAGAAGCGACGTTTGGAGTACGTCGACTCTGGTTTGCTCGGGTCTGCCCTTTCCCAATTATTCGGCGCCTGGCAACCCGTCATGAGCGCCGTGGCACTCAGCGTGACGTTTCTGTCTCGCATCTTTGCACTGATGGGGAATCCATCAGGACAACTGGCGGAACGCGGGACGATGTGGTTGTAGCAGCATCCGACGGCGCCCAGACACACGATGAACGGGACCGTGGCGAAGTACCTCAGCATGTGCTCAGACAGATTCCCGCACGCGTGGAGGCCGACCAGCATGCACTTCTCGTCTTCAGCCCAGGCCGCCATCTCGTCCGCCAAAGGTGGCGTGCCGTCGATGTAGCGCCGCATGTGCTGGATTCTGCTTTCGGGAATACCAAGACTGGCCGCGCAGGCCTTTGAGGCCGCGATTTGGGACTCGCTGCCGTCGATAGCTAGGACGCGGAGCTCTGGGAAGAGGTAGGCTAGTGCGATGGAGAGGTAGCCTTGGCCTGAGCCCATGTCGATGATGTGGGTTATGTTGTTTGTTTGGCAGACGCTGTGGATGTATGCGGCGGCGGTGGAGACCTCTGCAATCTTTTTGGTCTTCATGCGGCTTGTTAGGATCTCTGGGAGGGCGATAGTCTTGCCGGGGCGTTGGTCTCGTGGAAGAGCGAGCGACCGGATGCTCTCGAGCCACTTAGACAGCGAATCTGGCCTGTCTGGCAATTGTTGGTGTCGTTGGCTTTCATTTGCTTCCTCATTTGCCAGTAAGGAGGGTCCCAGCTCTTCGATGCTGTCGATCAAGTCTTGTTGGGCTATGCGATGATCTGGAAGTGATTTCCACCAGGATGTCCATTCCACGGGTAGAGCGTCCCAGGCATTGTAGATGAGTGAGTCGTTGACGTGGATGTCCCCAGTAATCTGGCGGACTAGGGGCGTTCCAATGAACTTGATGAGATCTTCCGTATATTCATCGACGCTGTCATATAAATTCGGCAACGTAATCATGGTTTGGTAATTAGGCGTTATGTTGTTGGTATTGTGTTGTCGAAGAGCGTAAAACATGGGCCAGCAGTCCAAGGTAAAAAGTGAACTTTGGACGCCCTCTTGCTGCAGGCGGTATGGGGCGGCAGAATCTAATGGGAACAACATGATCGGAGCAAACGAGATGTAAAGCTGGTTTGAATAAGCGTTTTGCAGTTTCCTTGCAAACGAATCCATTATATTGAATGACTCAACTTTCAAGCCAAAAAAAAAAAAAAAAGATCACATATAGCGAGTGGCTAGACAGTCTCCTATATACACTTTGGTGTCTAGTAGAAGTCTAGCATCTATTGTTCAACGCAAGACTAAGCTTTCGCTTTTCATCACTCCCAAGATTAACTATTTTTGTCACTGTATTCAAGTGCTCAAAAAATACGGAAGACTTGAAGATTTGTGAGCCACTCTCTTTCAACTCTCTTTCACCTCCTTGCGACTGACAAGCACTCCTTTCTCGTACCTGACGGCCTATACACCAATGCTCGACTCGCAAGTAGTCGGCTTCATAATATATGTGTTTTGATCCCATATCCTCGGGGCCAGAATGAGTGCCTTATTTTCTTTATCTCGCAAGGCGTTAAGAGAGCTCACGTTCTGCTCTGGCGGAATGTCATCAAACCAGGTTTAGACGCCGAAGTCTCACGGGGTCCATGGCCTCTCCCACATAATCTGCTGTCCATTTTTGACGTTGAGCCGTGTGTACCTGTCTCCCAAAGCTGAATTTTCCGGGAAGAAATTCTGATGAATGAAGTTTGAGTTTTACCTCGAAGAGAAAATAGCTTCACGTTCTCAGGCAATCAACATGATAGCATAGGGGCAGCAAAACTGGGTGCATACCCAAAAGTCTAGTTGATCCAGTCTTCCATGGTCATGATGGTACGCTCTTATCCCAGCAGCTTCTAGAATCGTCGAATGAGTGCTTCTTTTCGCTTCACTCGATATTGACTGAGACTGTGCTGTGGTAGCTGCGATGTCAAGGTGTATTCCAATACCTATTTTATATGTGGATCTACATCATGGCAACCAAAACGAACATAGCTAGTAATTTCGCCCTTTGAACACCGCGCCTTCACTCCATTCAAGTTTCATGATATCCCAAAACTTCCTATAACGATCCACAGAACCCTTCCCGTGTTCCTCGCTGATACACCCGAGCCATGCCTCGTCGCATTCGGGAAGCTGATGACAATCTGGCCTGGCTCCGGAGTCCAGTAGTATCTTGACTATATCCCAATACCCTTCGAAGATAGCCGCATTAAGCGCGCTTCTATATTTCCCGCCACGAATGTTCGTATCGGAGCCCTTCGTAAGGAGTAACTCGACAATTTGTAGCTCGCCTTTCCGCGCTGCTGCTTGTAGAGCCGTACCAAAGGGTCCGGCTATTGTGTTGGTATCGGCGCCCTTCTTGAGCAGCAACTCGACGGCTTTTACATCGCCTGTGCATACAGCTGCCTGTAGAGCTGTGCCAAAAACCCCGCCTATCATATTGACATTAATTTCTGGGCAGTTATCGAGGAGATATGTGAGGCCATGAATACAGGCATGAATTTCTCTGCCACGCTCAGCCTTTGGGGACGTCGCCGTCACACATGCCGACTGTAACGGAAATCCAAACTGGCCGGCTTCCAAATTGACATCAGCGCCATGTTCAAGCAGAAAGCGGACTCTGGGGACGACAATGTCTGATTGTCCGAAGAGCTCAAGTGCAGCCTGCAAAGCAGTGCCGTGTTGCTGACCTCTGCTGTCATTTACATCGACACCGTGATCGAGAAGTAGCTTCAGCGTATCAATGCTTGCTGTGTCATAGCTGCGAATCGTAGCTGCAGCATGCCAGGCGCTCCCGAATATCCCGCCTTGAGCATGGACGTCGGCGCCATGTTCAATCAATAGCCGCGCGATATCGCATGCAGGGTTGTCGAGAGTGTCCCAGTTTGATCCACAGGCCGCCTGGAGGGCGCTCCCGTATTTCCCGCCAGCAGTATTCACGTCGGCGCCATGATCAAGTAATAAGCGCACTGCTTCCATTTTGCCACTCGCGCAAGCGCTTTGAAGTGCTGTGCCGTGAATCCCTCCTTGCCTGTTGACTTCTGCACCTTTGCTGAGTAGCAAACTCTCTAGGTCAACATTGCGGACGTTGTTGGAAACCGCGGCTTGAAGCGCACTTCCAAATTTTCCACCGGGGGCGTTGACATCGGCCCCCCTCTCAAGCAGTTTTCTCGCCATCTCCAAAGAACAATACTCGCTCGGGCCAAAGTCGCTCTGGTAACCACTCGCAGCTTGTAAGGCATTGCCATACTCTCCGCCTTCGACACCACAATCGGCACCTCTATCCAGCAAAAGATCAACCAGCTCCGGATATCCTATCTCGCAAGCTATGTGTAATGCTGTGCCGTAACGGCCTGACTGATTGATTTCCGCGCCTTTGTCTAGAAGGAGGCGAACTGCATCAAGGCTAGATTTGTCGTAATACTTACACCACATGCATATAAACTGTAGTGCTGTGCCGTTCTCTCCTACCGGACCATCCACGTCAGCCCCCATGCTCAGCAGGTTTTCAAGCACCGCAATGGCATGAGACCTTGGAAAGCCGAGACAAAAACAGATGCTCCTGCATGCCTGTTGAAGCAGGTCTCGGCCATAGTTTGAGTTGGGATGAGCGCCCTGCTGTAGAACAAAGTCCAGAATGCTCTGCTTCCCCTCCTGTTTCGACAATTGGATTGCCCAAAAGACAGCACTCTTATGTTTAGTACACCCTTTGCTGATATCAGCACCGTTGGCGAGGAAAAGCTGCAAAAGCTCTATGCACTCAGTGATCTCGAGTGAGTCGAGCGAGATTTTGAAAGAACTTAAAGTCTGAAGCAGACACGACAGAACACACTCCGCTTTGCGTACATCAGCTCCACGACCCACAAGCATTCGCATGCCTGCGAATCTCAAACTCCTGGCCGCGGCTTCCAGAGGTGATCCGGATTCTTCATCATGAGCATCGATATCTGCGCCGTTGTCGAGCAAAACTTCCATGACCGCTAAATTGCCTTGGCGTGTCGCAGCCTGTAGCGCACCAGAACGTGACCTATGTCGAGCGTTGGCGTGAGCGCCTCTTTGGAGAAGGAATTGGACGACCCCGATGTTTCCCCCCTCCGCTGCCTCTATAAGGGCCTGGTCGAGATCTTCATGAACCACGAATCTGCCGGCCCATGAATCTTCACGAAGCAGCCACTTGGTGAGCTCAAGAGCGCCGAGCTTGGCGGTGTAGCAGTACGGCCGCCGATGCTTTCTCAAGATCGCACTGCCCTGGGATAGGGCACTGTCAGCGAGCGAGAGTACTTCAGGTGTCCATAATCTGCGCGGTACTTGCTCCAGGTGCCATGCCCAGTCGTGGAAAGCGTACGATGTTAAGAATAACTGTGGTTCTCGATAACCCTTCCCAGAGATTACCCTTGGATTTGAACCGTAATATAGGCAGCAGTGGGCAATGTGTAGGTGAGCCTCTACTTCAGTGAAATGGAAACATCTGGCACGGCTTTGTTGTATGCGGTCGGATATCAGGTACTCTTTCACCGTGAAATGAGCGAGTCGAACGATTGTTGAGTAATGATTGCCTTCGGTAGTCACGAGGCTGGGGAAATATCGCAAAACCCCTTTCGGATTGAACAGCCGCTTTTTCGTGTGATCTCCCGCAATCTCAGGATCAAGGATGAATACTTCGGCTAATTCATACAAATACAGCGGCCTACTCGACGAAGCTAGCCATTTTAGAGACCTAAGGACATGCGGTTGGAAGGTGGTATCTAAGCTCAGGAGCAGCCTATTATATGTGTCGTCAAGTCCCAAGGGGAGATCATTCAATGCCGAAAGTATGGCATCTTCCGAATTCAAGTGTTGAAGGACTTCGAATTGGCACACAAGGTATTGAAACCTGAAAGAGGTACCAAGTGTTAGCTCCAAGACAGCGCCATGATTCAATTCACTCTGTTCAATGACTTACATTCCATCTGCTCTTGCGAGCAATACGTTTTTTGCTTTAACCTTCATGTCGTTGGGCCAAAATTCGTATGTTCTGGTTGCCAAGACTGAGTCAATGTACAGACCAAGATCACCATTCAAGCCCGTCTGAGTGTCTGTAAGACTAATGGTGCGCTTAGCCGGCAGATGCACTACCTCGTCGATCCTGGTATTAATGTCCGGTTCGGCTCTGCCTGTACATAGAATGTGGAGATTATCCGGCATTACAGTAAGGATGTGGTTGAGGCAATCTAGCAGCCTGGGCCGCTCCCCGTCAAGAATTGGACACTCGTCGAGAGCGTCTACCACGATAAATACCGCTGAAAACCCACGAACAACAGCTATTAGGGCGGCTTCAAGGGTTTCTATGTCTGGGCGCTCCTTTTTGGCGACATAATTCTCAAACTTCTTGATTGGACGTGGCGTGTCGGGACGGCTCGCGCAAAGTTGGCCAATAAGCGAAGATAACATAACGGTTACCTTTTGTTGCTCCGTGTTCCCAAAGCTGAAGAAGTAGTACGCCAGCGCAACCTGAGGATCCTCCTCTGACTGTATTTTCAAGTGTTTAATGACTGATGAGCTCAGAATCGACTTCCCGGAGCCAGCTAGACGTCGTCAGTAGTGCATACCTGTCAAGTGACCATTGCATGCCATACCTTTGCCGTTGAGCCACAAGAAAGATTTTGGCGCTGTCTCCCACGTCTTGAAATCTTCGTTGTCTTTAATCAGCCATTCGCAAGTGCCACTGTGGTGTTTGCTACGTGCGGCATTGTACTGCACAGAGGGGTCAACGGTGCAGAGCCACTCGAGCAATTCTTTGCGCTTCTTATGGTTCTGGATTTCCTCAACTCTTCTTCTCAGATCGGAAACATCGGTGCCAATATTTTCCCAGTGTTTCATGGCTTGTTGATGCCGCGCCTCTGCGTTCTCCCATTCGTGAGTATACGCCTGGTCCCGCACATGATTGCTTACTTTGTCGAATTCGGTCTCGTGATAATTGATCTGTTCAAGCAGCTCTTCCCAGTCATGATGCTTCACAGAATCAAGCGCCATGCGAGAGGCAGTTTTATGGTTGTGGTAGCGATAGCAAACAATCTGAAACTTGAGGATCTCTCTGTACAGTCTTTCCAAGACGAGTCTGTAAGCAGCATGCGGCTCCGACGAAGCCTCGCTGGTCTTTGACTCGTAACGCCGAACATAGAGATCTTCCCACATAGAGCTTCGTACTATGAGGGACGATATATGCTCAAGCCCCTTGGCCAGAGCGGCGGCTTGATCCAAGGGATTGAGAAGCAGCTGTGCAGATCATCCAAGATACGTCAGTCTCCCAGACCAGGTAGCGAATGTGAAGGGTAGTAGCTTACCGGCAGTAACAAGCTCACACCACTCCAGGCAATCGACGCGTATGGATTTGAGACCAGAGCTTTGGCAACGAAATCATTGGCCCAGTCGACCACGGCTAGGACGGGCTTTACAACATCCTGGACTTCCACCTCGGAGCTGCCAAATTTCAACTTCCAAGACTCCCGGTTGACTTGGTCCATCTTGTGCTTGAGGATCGTTGCCAACCAGTCTTTCGTTCCAGTATGTGAACGTACGTCGACACCAAGGCCAGCAGCCAAGTTGTCGCATATCTGGTCCTCGAACTCTTGGACGAGGCTCTCTTCTTGATTTCGCAGGTTATGATATGCCACGTCCCACAACTGCCGAATAGACCCTTCACTGTTTTGGGAAGGCGTTAACTTCGCGGCCGGCTCGTCTCGTGTATCTTCTTGAAGCGTATTTGATGGTTCGGTGGCTGAAATCGATTGCGCTGTTCCCGAAGAACCGGTCGTGCAGGAGCTGGGTACCTTCTCCGCGAGCGCACTCGCCTGCTGCCGTGGATTCGGGTGGGCGTGAAGTGGTTCTTTGGGGGCGTCATCTTTCTTTGGACCACGGATGAGGTCCTTCAACTTCTTCTTCAGACTCAAACCCATTTTTTCTGATCCACTGATCCAGAAATGATGTGAGAATGGCAAGAAGGTGCTGCCAACTGTGGCGGCAAGATTTCGATGAGGGGAAAATGCGGCTGGACTGCCCAACGCCCTTTTGAGTCTTCTTGTTGGCCAATAGAAACAACAAATTTGATTCGAGGTCGCTTGTATGCGGCCAACCGCCGCCCCTTACCAGTGCAGATGGCATGATCCAACCGGGTCCAACACGCCGAGGAGAGATCAGCCAGCCAGCGTGATTGCTTCAGTAGGGTAGAATCGGTTAATGTCTTATTTCTCAAATGTACAGCGAGAAGAAGGCGTTTTGAACTTCTGGATGCGTATGAAGCGAGCGACTTGTCTCATGACACACTAAAGAATGTGCAGTGAACTCAAGAAATATGCTCCTGATTGATTTCGTCCAAGTTGGGTGCTGTTTATCACCATGGTCCAAATAGCATGCCACGTGATCACGGGACATAGCCAAACCCGGCTGTCCGCAGTTGATGCGACTGATTGCGGAGCCCACTGCCAAACAAAAGGCATATTTAGATCTGAAGGCTTCGTCTGCCTGCATGATATTGACCTAGTCCCTCTCTCGCTCCAATATTGAGTCGATATCGGTCATGTCCTAAGTTTGACCAGCTTTGCGTTGTGTTCAGTCAATACTGAAACATTTATCCCAGACTCAATCAGGCGTATGGATTTTCTTTCAATTTAAACAGCCGAAAATAGTCTCCCAATGGGGTCGGAAGATGTCTTCGCCGTGGACTATGTCCAGCCAGAGAACACTTCTAAGACAGGCAAGTACACTAACCCAGCTTTCCACTTGGGCCAGTGCCACAACATCTCTTGCCAAGCCAGTCAACCAGGTGTAGTGCTGGGTTCCCTGCGAGGCAACCATGCCTACAGTCAGAAGCCAGACGAAGAGACTGTTGCTGGAGCGAGCGTATGGTACGAGCTCCACCAGACTTTCCATCAGCCGATTGACAATCGTGTTGAATATGACGGCGTGTGAGTAATACGTCGGACCTTGGATGATGAAGATGTAGAGTATAGTCGCCAGTCGGATAGTTTCACTAGATGCCGAATGTGGCTCTACCACTTCTGGAGCTGACAACAGAAGTCGGTGTATGACAAAACATGATAGGTCATGTAGTCTTGTTGGTTGTAGCGGTGCTTTCTGCGCGCGGCGAAAAATACTCCGAAGCCGTATTAAAACATTTTCGACCTCGTTTTCGATCTCAACATCGCCGAGATGGGATAGATCACTGTCTACAATAGTTGGATCTATCTGCCATTCAGGAGGTGTAGGGACACCGTCGCCAATGCCTCCGTCGTTCTGCGTTTCAAACTGAGGCAGGCCGGTAACAATCATCGACACCCTTCGAGGTCAGACAACGTCAGTATGCAAATGTTGTGCTATATAGCTTGTATTCAACGTACCAGCTGACCATCCTTGCAGTTAGTGGACTGGTTTGTCTCACTGAGTTAATGCCTCCTCGCATATTGACAAGTCTCTTCACTCCATCAACGTGCATTTCGCTAACTTGGATATTTCCTTTGCCAAACTGGTTGCATGGAGAGAGTCAGTAAGCATGTGACAGCATCGAATCGTCACGAGGTTCTGGCTGAAATGAACAAGGCCAGGCTCACCTCGATAGCTGCTAAAGTGATGACTGAATTCATGGTTCCATCTTGAATGGCCATTGAGTCGTCTTGAACCTTCCGGCGAAGTAGAGCAACTGAATCCGCCATCAGAATTTCTGATGACTGAAATCCTTTTTGAGCCAGCAACTCTTCGTCGAGACATGCTGTTTGTAAAGAGACGTGAAATAATGCTGGATCACCGAGAGCTAATGGCCACCATGAGACGAGGAATGGATTTGACGTCGCGTTCAGATCTAGAGGGTAGTATTCGAATGCGATCTTGTGGAGAACTACATGGGTTAATGAGCTAGACGTGGATCGACAGGTTTAGTCGTAATAGGCATACAGCTATGGATAAGACGTTGAACTTGATGCCGCGGCAGTCTAGTTTGAGGATAAGAGTCAAAAGGATCAAGAGATCCAAATCGATAGTTGGTCAAAGCACCGGATCCGTCCAGCGGAGGTCCCGGCGACGATGTTGCGCTACCCCCCGGTGCGGACCCGGAAGCAGCCGGAGCAGCCGTCAGGGGTTCGTTGGCGTAGGCGCACAGGACCTTGCGCTTGATGCAGCGGGAGCACCGCGGCGTGCGGAGGTCGCAGCTGTGTTTAGACTTTGCACACGCAGCACAGGACCGGCGGAGGGTTTGGCGCATGTTTGTGCGAGATCGACTGGACTGGGGGCGATGAGGACATGGAAGAATTGGACTGAAGTGAGTCGATGGTCCCTCCGTGAGGTCGAAAGGAGAGAGAGAGAGAGATGAAAGTGATCCAATGGTGGAGACAATGGTCTGAGAGCTTCGCCCGCGTATCCGCGAAAGACCGAAGAGCTGCTCCCGCTTGAGAGTTCGTTTCTTGCGGTGTCCTGACCGAAAGGGGTTTAGTCGCCGCAGTTTCAATCGTTAGGGATCTCGCTGCTCAGTTCCCTCCCTTGTCAAACTCCAGTTTTGTTTGCTGACAAACATCGAGTTGATTACCGAAAGAGGTTTAGTCTCCGCAGGTCGATGAGATGCCAAGACTTCACAGGGCTGGCTTGTTCCGCGGTTTGGGAAGAGAAACGAACGATGTTCTGCATGTGGTTCAACCAGACAGAGACCAGTTGAAATGAGATTGTGCTTGATGGTGTTTACAGGATACGAATACGCAAGACGAAACCCCCTTTGACGTTTTGATGGGTCTACTGGCTTCCTTTAAAGAGGTGCCGAGATGTCCCTTAGATGCTCTCCTGGCGGGAAAGACGGTCCAGCAACACCGTTGTAGACTTTAACATGGCTTCAGCAATCGTCGACACGCCTATCGTACAGCCTGGAGTAAGGCAAACATGGTCTAATGAGACGGTTCTGTCGCCTAGCACGCTGCCGGCTTTCTTTTCGGGCTGGTCAACATGGCAGTACATCGTCACTTTCCTTCTTGGCGTCGTCGTGTACGATCAGGGTACGAGCAGACCTTGAGCTCCTCAAAGACCACAAGAAAAAGACTGACATATTGCCAGTGATGTATCTCAAGAGGAAAGGCTCAATTGCTGGACCTGCGTACAAGATCCCCCTCATGGGACCCTTCATCCAGGCTTTACACCCCAAATTCGAGGAGTACCTTGCCCAATGGGCGAGCGGTCCCCTCAGCTGCGTGTCAGTCTTCCACAAGTAAGTACTTTAGCTCAGTCAAAGAAGCAAGTCCTCAAGGTCACTTAGGTGCATGCCCTGATCATTGATATCTCAGGTTCGTGGTTCTTGCTTCTGATCGCGACATCGCCCACAAAGTCTTCAAGTCTCCAGCCTACGCCGAGCCATGTATCGTCCCCATCGCCAAAGATATCCTCGGCCACAAAGCCTGGGTCTTTCTTCAGGGCAAAGAGCATGCCGAGTACCGGAGAGGCCTGATGCCCCTGTTCACCAACAAGGCAATGGCAACATACCTCCCAGTTCACGAGAAGGTGCTGGGCGAGTACTTTGACAAGTTCGTTGCCGCAAGCGAGGCAAACAACGGAAATCCCATGGCTTACATGGCTCTCTTCCGCGAGATCAACTGCGCGCTCTCGTGCCGTACCTTCTTCGGCGACTACATTTCTCAAGACGCCGTCAAGAAGATTGCCGACGACTTCTACCTCGTCACCGCAGCACTCGAGCTTGTCAACGTTCCTCTCTCTATGTACATTCCCGGAACAAAAGTCTGGCTCGGAAAGCGCGTGGCTAATCAGGTCCACGCTGAGTTTGCAAAGTGCGCGGCCGCGTGTAAAGCCAACATGGCCAAGGGCGCGACTCCGGCATCCATTGTTGACCACTGGGTTCTGCACATGATGGAGTCCAATAAGTATCGCGAGAAGGTTGCTGCTGGCGACACCGATGCTGTGAGACCTTCAAACATGATCAGGGAATTCACCAATGAGGAAATCTCAGAGACGCTCTTCACCTTCCTCTTCGCATCCCAGGATGCGTCTAGCAGTGCTACGACATGGCTCTTCCAAGTCCTGGCGCAAAGACCAGACGTTGTTGAGCGCCTTCGCGAAGAGAACCTTGCCGCGAGGGGTGGCGACAGCACCAAGCCCTTTGACCTCCCCATGCTAGAATCGCTCACCTTCACCAACGCCGTCATCAAGGAGCTCCTCCGTCTCCGGCCACCCGTCATCTTCGTTCCCTATCTTGCAACCAAGAACTTCCCTGTTACGCCGAAGTATACCGTTCCCAAGGGATCCATGATCATTCCGTCATGCTACCCGGCCCTGCACGACCCCAATGTCTACCCCAACCCCGAGTTCTTCGACCCTGACCGATGGATCACTGGAGACGCCGAGTCCAAGACCAAGAATTGGCTCGTGTTCGGTGCTGGACCACATGATTGCCTTGCGAGGAGGTATGTGCCACTGACGATGGCTGCCATGATTGGCAAGGCGGCGTTGGAGATTGATTGGAAGCATCATGCCACGGAGAAGTCGGAGGAGATTAGGGTGTTTGCTACATTGTTTCCAATGGTAAGTGTCTGGTCATGTCTCAGTCTCTAACTTCGCAGATGCTGACTCTTTTCTCAAGGATGAGTGCCAGTTGAGCTTTACCAAGCGACAGTGAGACTCGCTTGCTGAGTTGATACGCTAGCTTTTGCCTGTTTCTTCTATAGAACACGCGGATCTGTCTCTAAGCATGATGACATTGGGGGACTTCAGAGCCTCACACGACTATCTTATTTTTAATGACGAAAATATTCCATATGAAGGCCGTCCTGGTAACCTTCTTCACAGTTCCTAATTCCAAACACAGACTCCCTTGCCTTGTAAACGACAACACCTCGAACGCCCAAGTGATCTGATAGCACCATTTCCCTCATTTCAGTGATCAACCGCGAGAATTCCACATACCAATAACGTCATCTGCAGTAGCCTCCAGGGCCTGCTGCTCTTCCGGGCTGGAGGTCCAGCTTTCAGTCCCGGCAATGTGCACCAGCCCGGGGTACTGTGGCGGAGGAGTTATCGGGGACACGGAGAGTCGCTGGGAACTGTTGGATACACTGCTGATCTCTGGGTACACCTGCATCGAGGGGACTGCAGCTACATGCACCCTGTCCCGATGAAACATCTCCATCCGTCGCGAGCGAAGAGATGCCGGGGACGGCTCGCTGTGGAACCCAAATCGTCGGCGGGATGGTTCCCAGCCAAGCGTCGGACTGTTCGCAAAGCGCGGACGGCCTCGCATAGATTCTCGAGGTGACATGTTTGATCTGTTGGAGGGGTAATGGGAAGGACGACTGATCAAGGAGGGTACCAGAGAGCCTGCATCCGATGAGGTCGCGCTAGTGTTGTTGGTACGAGTCGGACGCAAAGGCGTAATGACGAAATGGCCATCTACCTCACACTCAATCGACATTGAACCTTGACCCAGATAGCACTCTAGGTCAGGAAGTCTGATGACGGTGCCGGTGGTTGCGATCGACTCGGAGTCGTTGATGCCACTGTCTCCTGCAGAGCTCGCTGCATCGAGGGCAATGCCTTGGATGGAAACCCTCAAGGAAAAGTTACCAGGCCGACGACGTAAACGCCGACTACCCGGAAGCGTGCGGTTGGTTGAGGAGGATGGTACTTCTGATCGACTGCGCTCAGAGTCAAACGGCATCGTGAGCTAATCAACGACTGAGCTGGCTGTAGCGTAGGTTGCTGTTCAATGTTTTTGAAAGACAAGTGTGAACTGGAGTTTACTAAAGCTGTTGTGACTAAGTTTATTGTAGACATACGAGGTCGCTCGAGTTTATCTATATGAGAATCAAACATCTTTCTTTGCTGTTCTACCGCGAAATTTCAAAGAGTTGTTGATTCTGACTTGAAGTTGTGAGAGGATTCGAGATAAGCCCAAACAGAAGCGGGTTCTTTGCTGTCTGTTCAACCCTTAACTTCTAGACTACTCTGGTAGAGTAGGATCTTTGCTAACTATAGAACCACATATTCATGAAAAAAAATGGGAAAGACATGAGCAACTCGTCAAAGAAGCGCATTTCAGCGAGACATATTGCTGCAGCTTTGTTTCGACTGTGGCTCCTTGCTGTATTTCTGGGATTAACAAGCTGGTTGGTTGTCCTTGTGGAGCCAAGGGCAGCCCCCACTCATAGTTGCATTTCAGCCCTCCACGGTCAACTCGGAAACGGGTCGGTTAGCTCAGTTGGTTAGAGCGTGGTACTAATATTTCACCTGAAATGTTGTGTAATGCCAAGGCCGGGAGTTCAAGCCTCCCACTGATCACGAACCTTTTGTCACGGGCACTATTTACTGTTTTGCTGAAATAGCTAGTGTCCATGAGAGTTCCACGAGAACCATTTGGCGATAGACAATTGTGGTGCGCAAATTTGTATTGAAGTTTTGTGTGATGTGGGGAAAATGTTGGAGACAGACCACCTGAAAGGGTTGGAGAAAAATCGCGGTTACTTCGACTTCCGTCGCGAGAATCTATATGTCTTCTAATTAGCATGAGGCCTGTTCATGATGGACATGATGCGCACAAATTTGCCTAGATAGCCGTGACAGGGCTTCCTATCGTTGCGTACTTAGGTTGTTCGCTCCTCATCGCATCCCCCGATTTCTACATTCACGCAGTAGTGGCCGGCGTTGGCCGTGAATCTCCGTTCACGACTTCACACGCGCATATCCGCCTTTCAAATTGGCTGTCCTGCCAAGCACTAGACGCCTGCTGCGATGTAACTCCAGCGGGAAGGCGAAGAAAAAGATATTCAGGCTAATATGGGAATCCGGCATTGGGTCAACCCTTGACTCTCCCGTAGCCACGGTTCTCTAAATATCGACGCGTTCATTAAGGACCCTCGATCTCGGACCTCATTATGGCAGCGTGGGTGGCTACTGGTGGAATTTTCTCAGATCCCAGTTTCTGGGCCCGGGAACTTGAAATGAGCTTGTCGACGCCTGCCACTTGCACATTACGGACAACTTTCCTCTTCTCTGTCAACCTTTTCTTCTGGTTCCCTCCGTCTGCACAACAACCCCGCGCTCACACGCGCCAAAAAAGAAATCTTGGAAATGGGCCTACGGCGCAGGCGAGATGCCCACTTTCTCCCCCTCGCGCTAGCCCAGGCACAGGAATTCTCGGAGCACCCTCCGAGCGCCAAGTCAGTTTGCCAGACATGGCCACGGCACTGCTGCTGTTGCTCCGTCTGACTTGCGCGG